AGCCACTCCTTGGTGTTTCCTCAGGCAACGGACCGACGGGCACGGGCACCTCGCATGTGTTCTCTGAGGTCTTAGGTCACGGGTTCCTTGTTACTTAGCTTTCCACGTGTCTGTATACACTGTTGTGCTCTCGTACAATGATTGCTTACGTTTGTTTACCAGATGAATGTCTTAGAAAAGCTCATTGCACGTTTACTTTGAAGTCGGCTCCATTACAAAGGAAGCATTGTGGTGCTGATGCTGTTGTATTAGGAAGGCCAATATCGTCTTGCTGTTAAAACACCGCATTGCTTGGTTTATTGAATCCTGCAATCGTTGATGCAATGCTCGGAATTGCAACCTTACTCGTCCCGTTTTCACGAACAACCGATATGTTTTCGGATGACACTGAGGTGCCAATCGTTATTTTCTTGTGTTCTTACTTCTACCTACCTAGACATGTTTCCCGAAGTGTTGGTCAAGGTCGAAAAATTGCTTTACGGACTTCAATCTTTTTGTCCTGTAGCGTTCGACAAATAGTTGTTTGTAATTTGTTGCCAGTTTATTGTTGATATGGATCAGAAGACATCCGCGCTTGGCTCAAGGCGCCACCGGCGCGGTGTCTATTCCTCTCAGGGGGCCTGGGGTGCTCGTAAAAGCAGCCGGCGCCTCTGTGGACTGCAGTGAGTAATGACGCCGTGGGCTGTAATAGTGACAGCTTTCTAGCCACACTAATCGCAATCGAGAGCACGGCCCGTTTATTTGCTCTGCGAGGTCGTTTAAATGCCAGCTGGAGTGACAACAAACAGACAGTCACTCTGTGCAAACTTCATCGTATGAATGAAATGCATGGTGACTAATGCATTTGTCAAAATGATGCCGATTGCTGATAAACTGATGTGTGTTTTGACGACGTTATTCTAAATATTGATAAACATGTTGGTTATTAACTTGTGGGGTTCAGGATGACCTCTAATTTATCAATGTGTCATTCACTAGGCCTACAAACATTAATTGATTCAGTCAGATCGCTGCTTCACAGTTTTATAGCTATGTTGATGGACGGCGTCTTCATTCTGATCTAAATGCGCAGGAAAGTTACGAAACTCTCACCCAGGTGAATGGTTGTAGTGGCGACAGGTATGAATTACCAATTATATCACAATGGATAACAAAACCGAAGAAGGATAACGAGCTCAGGGATATAGATCAACCCCAGCTCGAACTGCTACTGTAATCCTTGCGAAATACAATGCAAAGGCGAACCCCGCACGTTTACCTGGCCAGTCGGCAAGAACTGTCCCATCGCACAGTGCCTGGGGCCAAATAGCCTGCGGCTGTGACACACGGCGGGTTCCCCGAACTGCTGGGGACGGGGGAGGCGGGGAGGCGGGCGGGTCTCCACCGTCTGGTGACGGGACGGCACGCGGGGAGGGAGGAGGAATGGCCCGGCCTCTGATGAACTGCCGACCGTCGAGTGGAGGATGGCTCCGACGCCACGGACGATGGAGCTGGCGCCGGTCGCCGGCGGCGCTGTCGGCGCCGGCGGCGGTGTCCCTGGGGCGCCGAGATGTACGCGCCGCGCCGCCGGAGGTACCCGGGCCCTGGGGCGCTGAGATGTACGGCGTATACGTGCCCCCTGCCCCCTCTCTGCCTACGCTCCTATCGCCCTCTGTCCTCAAGTTCCTCTGTGTGTATGTACACTCATTTTTGTAATTGTATACCAAATTGCCTACGGATAAGTGCTAATTTTGGCATTCGTTGGAAATGCTAGAGGTAGTACTGTACATGCTTTAATTATCAGAGCAAATATACTTGGTCATAGACTCATATCACAAAGAAGGCATCCCTGATTCCCATACGCTCAAAAGTGCGGTCAGCGCGTATGCATTCGTCACTGAATAAGGTTAGCAAAGCCGGATGTTCTAGACCAGACGGACCACATATTCACGGTGATATGGATCGGAATGGCGTCCTCCTTCGAGCCCAAGGATGTGCAAGGTCGTTCTCGCTGCAGATCACAAAAATGTCGCCGTTTTGAGCGGAATCACTACGTCTCGGGCACTCCTTAAATGTGCTATACCCACCAGGGATACAGCTGGTAATGCCTTGTGACTCAGCCCGCTCCATTGAGGATTAGTGTTGTAAATATGACAGGACGACAGACCACTATGACCGATATTCTCCGGGACGACAGCGCTCTTTTAATTGCGTCGTACTGTGACCAAGAGCGGCCAGCCAGCTATCTTTGATACTGCAGAGTTGTGCATCGCTCACACAAAGGTTTTTATGCGAATGAATGTTGTCAAGTGTGTGATTAAATGAAAATTAAAACGTCTTAAATCGGTGCAATATCATCTGTACTCTGTATTATATGTATTGTTTCCATATTCCAAAGAAAACATAGGCGCGGGAACCGGGGGGGGGGGAGTGGGGACAGCCTGCCCCACAACTCTGGGGCCGTGGGGGCGCTGCCCTCACGGCCCCAGGGCTACGAACCATCGGGGTAGCTTGTCCTCCCCAAATTAGGGGTTGTGGGTCACAAAAGAAAACTGAATGGAAGAAAACATTAAATTAAAAAAACTCTTTCCCTAGCTCGACAGCTCATCTGGCAGATTTAAACCTTAATGATTGCAGGTTACCAAAAAGGTAGTTCCTTTACTCAGCTGAAAAGGAATACCTTGCTTTTTGCAAATGTTTTCGTTTGTTCTTTTCGTTGAAAAGGCCAAGGGGCGACAAATAAGTGACCCAAAAGCGGTGAGAAAACTAGACTTGGGGGTACCCTATATAGGTTCCGGAAAGTATCATGTGTTCCCCCCCCCCCCAGCCTGAAAGTGTTCTCACGCCCCTGGTAGAAAGAATGGCTACGAAGCGACGCACTGTGTTCAATAAAGCATAATGTCATTGCAGTCGTGCCTGTTTAAAAGGGTAAATGCAATTTATGCAATAAACCAAAGGCTATTTTCAGACACGCAACCGATATTTTTTCTACGAGCCGCCATGAAACGTTACCTCAAATACGCTACAAACATGACACATAACCAGCAACATGATTGATGCTCAGTAGCTAAAGATGAGGGTATTACAGATTACATCAGACCTTCATCTCTCCCTCTAATAGGTATGATGTTTTTCACGTGCGAACGGCTCAAGCTCCACAAGTTTTCATTTAGTTTGACAACGAACATCATTTCGGCAATCTGTGATAACATCCAGGATCCTGTTGGGGCATTTAGTTTCAGTCCTCGGCCGCCGAGAGCCAGACTGGTGTGCTGTGGAGTACTGGGGGATAACGGTAATTGGAGCGAGCCTCTGTTACCGTCGCGCAACTTCAATCGGTAATGACGCAACTCTCATGACAGGTGCCGAAATTGAGATGTTATGTTAGGTGTTGCACATCATCTACATAACGTGACAGCTTTTGGTTATTTTTTTGTGAACATTCAGCATCAGACTGGGAAAAGGGAGTCATGATTGTCAATGTGTGGTTGATGTTCAGTCTTGTTCTTTGTTTACTTTGACCTTTGTCGCTGTCTGGGAATGCGGTTATAAATAGATAGGGCGTTTAATATATTCGAATCTTCTGTAAATTTTCCACGACAGTTAGGATAAATGATAACAATAACAAGTCAAATGTATATTTAGACACACAAAGCTTTCGGTACGAATTTCTGTAACACAGTGATCAAGGCATTTTCGTACCGAAAGCTTTGTGTGTCTAAATATACATTTGACTTGTTATTGTTATCATTTATCCTATTCGAATCTTCAATGACGGATTGTTGGTGATGCTTCTGCAGGGTATATGGTTTACATTGTTGTTTTTTTTTTGTCTTCGTATCAATTGTAAAAGTGTGCACAAGTAAGGAAGTCTGAGCCTCGTTTTGATGGCTCAGACTGCGTCCTCGTGGCGTTTGTGTGTGTGCTGTGGGCACATAATGTGCGGTTTAGTGCACACACAGTCACCGGAAGACACTGATTGGTGCCAAGTGGTGTCGCGACTCCTTCCTGCCAGCGGAACGGATCCAAATACCCTCCAAATACCCTGTGTGGTGCTCATGAAAGCTCGATGATTGAACGATAATTGTTCCGGTAAACCATTTCATCGGACGGTTTTTAAAATCCAGTGTGCTCTAATGGCTGTGACGTTTTGACAGCCGTCTGCCGCCCGGTTCGCTATCTAGTCACGGCATGAGCGATTTCCATAACAGTCATAACAAAAAGGGTCGTAACTTCCAAGCATGCTGCTTGACCTTGCGTGCACAAACGCCTTTTTGTGCGGCATGCGCTTTGTGAAGGTCCCAAATGGTCACACTTTCCTCGGTTTCTTTGTGGTGTGCCTTTTTACCTGTCATTAGCAGATGACTGTGGTGACGTAATGATGCCCGGAGCTGAATCACATGTTCGTCGTTCTGACCAAACTTTCCGAGCGCTACCTGTTCTTCGCTACTGACTCGTTTACCTACAGAGACATGTGAACTCTGCCACCTTGCTCAGTCCATGACACATTTGTGACCTATGTGATTTCCCGGATACATTTGTGATCTTCCAGAAACCTACGTGATCTCTGTTACTCCTGTGATCTAGGCGTAAACATGTTTTTGACCTCTGTGATGCCGCTGTGACCTTCATGACCTCCCTGATGCCGCGGTGACCTTTGTGGCCTCCCGGAGATTTGTGAGACCTCTGTGACATCGGCTCCCTCTCGTGACCTCTGTGGCGGCTGCCGTTTGATCCGTGCCAATTTCCCCTCTGATGAGACACACTGCTGCAGACGCCGCTGACGTAGGTGATATAGGTGACGTGGGAGCCGCAGAGGGTGTGAGTGATGTGAGCGATGTGTCTAATTGCCGTCTGTGTTTGACGTGTTCCTCTGGCGCTGTCGGCGCCGACAGGCCCGCGCCGCCGCGCTAATGTTCCGTGACGCCCGGCGCGCCGACGGCGGCGGCGGCGGCGGCGGCGGCGGCCGGTGCATGACGCGCGCTCCTCTGACGCCGCCGCGGTGCCCCTTCTGCCGGCAGGCGGCAGCGCCGCGTACCGCGCCCGCCCGCGTCAGTCTCGCCCTGCGGCCGGCGCGGGCCGGCGGTGCGTGTGTTCATGTGCCGGCGCGCTGCGCCACTATCCTGATGGGCCATGGTGGACTCGCGCGGAGCGCTGTTGACTGTGCTGCTGCCTCTGGCGGCGCTGGCGGCGGCGCCCAGCGCCGGCCGGCCCCCTCCGGAACACCATCGGTCAGGTAAGTCCACTGTTTCACTGACCGGGCCGGCCCCCTCTGGCACATCGTCAGGTAAGTCTACTGCCCTCTGTGACCGGCCGACCCTCTCCAGAACACCATCGGTCGGGTGATTCCACGCTGACTGGCTAGCCCCCTCCGCCCTCCGGCATCCCATTGGTCAGGCGAGTTAATAGTTCCTCTGACCGGGCCGACCCCCTCCGGCACCCCATCGGTCACACACTGACCGGCCATGTTCTCCATATCGGTCACACACTGACCGACCGACACCCTCCGGCACCCCATCGGTCGGGTAGGTTAATCTGTGACCAGTCGACCCCTTAAGCACCCACTCGGTCACACACACTGACCAGTCGAGCCTCTTCGGCACCCCATAAGTCAGGTGAGGTTACATATATTTTGACCGGCCTCCAGGCGTTGTCCATTGGTGACCGATCACACATAGACTGTGTCCGCGGCTTATACCGGTCGACTGTCCCAATGATAACTATAAGCCGTTTTCACGACGGGTTATCTTGTGAATGTACCAAACTTGACCGAATCTGCAGCAAATCTCTGTTACAACAAATGCCTTCATATCATGACTTTATTTCAGCATTAAAAAATGATGCATCATTTTTTGAAAAAATCAGGTATACACGCAACTGTGCAACCCAAACTGATAGCTTCCATGAAACACAGTGAACCTAATTTAAACAAATCTTCACCTAAGTTGATCAAATCTGCACCAAATCTGCTCATAATGTGACCAAATGTGTACCAGAGGGCCGTCGTGAAAACGGCTGTTTCCGGTCCAGGTCACTGATCAACCGTCAACGTTGACCTGTCACTGATCAGCTGTCCCCATTATCTGTCAATGGTCACCGCGCGTGCGCATAACAATAGATGGGAATGTTCTATTCAATATCGCTGTATGAAATATTATTGCGAAGTGCTCAACGGCGTGTGTGTGTGTTTTTTATCTTTCCAATCGCTCTACGAAGCTGTCTTTTATACCATAACATTCCCATTACATTCAAGCATTCCCTTCTTCCGATTAAGTAAATTTAAACCCTAAATGGTTGAATTTACTGCCTCTGAGGCGATGCATGACACTCCGTGAAGGCTAAAAGGTGGCTCATTTGAAGCATTTGCAGAGGTTATAGGATACACCGAAAAGGTTTTAAATGTTGCATGCAGCTTTTATCTATCGATTCCAACAAAAGTCTGAATGCTTAAACAATGAGTGTTCGCTTACAAGCCCGCATTGGGTGCTGCCTCTCCGAATCGTGTAATTATAAGCACGGTGAAAGGAGGTGGGCATGTCAGAAGGCGAAAAAAGCCACCGTGACCATCTGTCAGGCTTTGTGCACCTGGCCAGCCAAGACACGTGCATCATGTGCAACATCGGGTTGATATGCATTTCATGACAGATAACGGTGAACGACACGGGTGCCGTTCGCCTCAGTGCCGACCCAGTGCAGTGGTGCGATAGATATGCACGGGGATTGCTGGTCGGAACATCGGTATCACCGGCGGCGGTCGCAGCCAGGCGTGAACACGGCTGTGCGGACAAAAGCCGTGATCGCTGCCAATCGCATACATTCATCACCGCTGAGTGTGCCAGGGTGGGACTGGGGAATGGCTGGGGCGCGGCTTCCCCTCGGTTCGGCTGACGGGGAGCGGTTCCCCTGCTGGTTAGGGGTGCCACCGCACTGGACCAGGTGCATTCTGTCAGATATGAGGAAGTCCGTCACATTGGTCTCACGCGGCATTTCCGGACGGCAGGGCTGCCGCTCACGGGCCGCGCGGGGCTCCTACAGAAAAGTGACGCCGTTCCACTAAAGGAAGCACGTGACACGTTACCCAGTACCGAAGCGTGCGTGGTAGACACCAAGGTCGGAATAGATATACCGCGGGATCGCGTACGTTTGCGCACTATAGCTGACATCCACTTTTTATGGATTTTGAGGACGGTGCTGCCGAGTAGTTGGGCACCAGAACCTAGCCACTAAGAAGGGTATTTTTATTCCATGATGAACTACGTGATATCATGCAGGGTGATATATGTGCACCCCAAGTCCGCTATTTGTACCTTTTCATGCACGTGACCGTATAAATTCGAAGCAACAACTCAAATGTTAGCTGTCATGCTACCAAGTGGACAGTGGTCGTAAATATCAACGTTAAACAGGTGCAGGCGATATCGTTACAGAGATGATGAATTGGCGATAAAGGATGCAGAAACTGATTTGTAATTGTGATGGAGTTTGATTTGTTGGCTGCACTCGCCTATTAACTTATCCGCCCTACTATCGAAATTTGTATGCACCCATAGAAGGTATTGGTTATTTGTAACCTCTCAACTCCCGCGATGCTGTAACTGACAACTGACAGGGTGAAAAGTGAGTTGTTGGTGTAGGTCTAACTTAGTTAAATGCTTACATAAGAAGCAACAATTTATATCATCAGTATTTTGTTTTGTGATTGCATATCTATATTAGCAATGACCATTAGGTGGGTACCTATTATTCATTGTGCCCGTTGTTGTTTTCTTGGATTATAAAATAGTGTGAAATAAGTACCGTTGCCCAGTATCCATCCCTGTCAACGGTCGTCAGCTCAGCTGTCGTCAGCTGCGTTTCCGCACGCTGTTGCAGAGAGATCAGCGGACGGTTTCAGATTTATTGTGTCAGGGCTTTTACGCTCTGCGGAGCCCAGCTGTGCCAGCTGTGAGATGGCGTTCTTAATGCACGGACACCAAAGGCTCTTGTCCAACTCCTTTTTTTTTGCGTCGGTAAAGCGATCACCGTGCGTTTTTATCGGCAGTAAGGCCCGGTCCAGCGCAGTTGTTCGTATCCGATTTTGGCGCTGTCCTCGTTTCCGGCTTCTCTCCTCGTGGGAAATCGCTAGTGCTCATCGCTGCGCTGCGACCAATTAAAAGTCTTCAGCAACCTTGCTGATTTTTACGATCCACCTATCGATTCTTGCAGATATTTATCTAATGAAGTGGCGTTGCCGCATATGATTATTACTTTTATTTTTATCTATTGAAAAACAACCAGAGCAGTTGTAGGTTGGGGGTTTATAGCATAGGTAGTTGGTATAGTGAATCGAGACATTTTGGTCGCAGCCTAAAGGCACTGGCGGATCCAGGCTTGCGTTTTGGGGGGGGGGGCCAACTCATGCAGGAGCCAAACCTAGGGTACCCCCAAATCCTGTTTTCTCATCGGATTTAGGCCACTTATTTTTCGTCACAGCCCTGACACTATGATTTTTTTTATCTAAAAAGAAAAATATATAAATGGTAGCCCACCCGACCCATGCCTTTATATTACTTTGTAAACACTTGCCATTGTTTTTATCGACCCACTTAACCCTCGCCGGACCTATTGGTTTTCTACATACGCGCCGGCCGAGAGGGGGGGGGGGGGCGGGTACGACCCCCCCCCTCGCCGTTTCGCCCCTGGTGGAGCTAGCGCGTCGCGGAAAAAACGAGCGTGTGCGCCGTTACGAGACGCAGAGATTGGTACCCGATTTTAAGGTCCTAGGTCAACCGGTGACCTCTGAGGTCAGGTCAAGTGCCCCAAGGTACGGTTCAGTTTTTGGTGAATAACTTCGCAAAAAACGGCCGCAGAGCGCCGATTTTGGCAGCATCGTGTTCGTCACGCTCAGGCGCGTCGAATGATATACTTTTTGTCCGGGTCAGGTCAATTTGGGGTGTTGACCTCAGGTCAAGGTCAGGTCAGCACCCCCAGGTCACGAAGCTGGTCGAAAGGGGTCATGTCGCATATCATTCGATTCGGCAGGTCTTCCTGAGTCCATTGGTGGCTTTTCCGACTCGCTAGCTCAATTTGATCAAGAGTTATTGACGAAAAACTAATATGACCTTGATGACGTCATAAATGACGTCACGCAAGGTCAACATTGCAAAAGTGACGCATCTAACCTTGCAAGGAGTGCATCAAATCACGATTCTGTGTGCTTGAGATAGTTGGAGATCGTTCCCGGCGCCAGAATAGCAGTTTGAATTTTTCCCCATTGACTTATACCTAATGGTGAGGTCACGAAAATGACCTGACCTCATATGACCTTTAGGAAAAATCCGAGATATACAAGTTGTGGGACTCATAATGGATACTAGATCCTGCAAGTTTCATTTCCCTGTGACATCTCCTCTGGCAGTGAGGGCGTTGCGAAGTTGCGACATCTGAAGACCGTGCAGAGGTTCACTTATGACGTCATAGGTCAGTGACCTGACCTGACCCAAAAATGCGGTTGGTGTCAAAAGATCCGGCTTGGATCAAAGGTCAGGTATGCCAAGTTTCAGCTCTCTATCGCCAGCGTGTTCGGAGCTATCGCGAAAAAACCCTATGGGGGGGGGGGGCGGCACCCGCCCCCCCCCCCTCGGAATTGCGCGATCGGAGGGTAGAGGGCAGGGTCATCGCAACAAGCTTCGCTTAGCGGTGGCTCTGTCCTTGTGATTCCTTCCCATCAAAAGGTTCGGACTAAATTTATAAAAAAAAACAGCAGCGGATATCCCAAAAAGTAAACAAAAATAAAAGTCTAATCTCTTGAAAACCGGTGAATATTTTTGATAAAATTTGGTAGATATTCGTTTTCGCCCTTTCTGAACCTAGCGACATCACTTTCATGCCAATTCATTAACTTTTTTGAAGGTGGGAGGGTCTCTTTAACCCGCTTCGAGTCAGTGCTTGGGTCCCTTTGCGGGCCGGGAGGTGGTAAAACAGCCCTGTCTAACTCGGCTCCTGGGCCACGCCCTGATTGAACTATGTTTCATTATCGTTTGGGGGAGGGGGAAAACGGGCCACTTTAGGCCTCTGGGAAGGGGGCATGGCCCTAAATGCCCCCTCCCTGGATCCGCCAGTGTAAGAAGAGACCATTGGAGCTGCAGTTGGGTACCTCAGACATCAGGGTACGCCCTCAGATGTATGTATAGGACTCGCATGGAGACCTCTTATGCTATAGTGTACTGAAAGGACCCAAAGGAGCCTGTCTATATG